TGAGCTAGAGTCCTCGGACGAGTTCAATTTATCCACATGGGGCTGCAGCGGCTCCACGTCGTAATCGAAAGCGGCCTTTTTGCTATCACTCTCGTCGTTGCCTCCAACGGAGGGCAAGCTGTTGGCATTATCGCCGGCCAGGGAGGCGAGCAGCGTGTCTACGCCACCCTCGGCCCGGCTCTCTTTGATATCATCACTCGTTTCGGAATGCTGTTCCGCCACTGTGCCGAAAGGAAAGGAGGAACTCTTCTCATCCACGCCCGTCTCGGTGGCGGCCATCATTTCAACATCATCGTCCAGCTGGTGCTGGAGCTGGGCCAGCTCATCGTAATGTTGTTCTGGGACAGAGGCCTCCTGCAGCGAGGTCTCGCGCATTTGGTCCTCGTCCTCCTCATCCAAGACCATGACTGTTTCGCTGCCGATGATTGTCTGTGGTTCCTGCTGCTGTGGCTGCTCGGTTTCTTCCTCTTCGGGATCGCTTACCTGCAAGACGCAATGAATGTGATTAATAAATAAACTCCATATGATGCGATAGGGAGATGCCTGTGATTGCTACATCAGTTGGCCCTTGCAGAAAATCATATGCTGTGGGGCATCATATGCGAACGGAACAACGCCACATCCGCATGAAGACATGCATTTTTTCTCATCAATTGTAGCTGTGTGGTGGCTTTGTGTGTTTGCCGCGTGGGTGTACTGACCTGCGCGTGTCGCCTGGATGTGCGCTTGGAGGTCCTTGTGGACACTGCAAGTGCTGGTGCTGGCGGAGATGCAGCCTTTCGACCGGAGCGTGTGCGGCGACCTGAAAAAATAGTCCAGCAGTTATGTTAGTTCATGCGGTTTACATAAACTGTACGCGGTGTTGTCGTTTTCGCCTGCCGCGTGATTTTCTCGTTTTTCGCTTTATCTTTATTACTCGCGTCGCTTTTCTTTCAAACACACTCCGTATGCTATGTTCAACTTTAGTCATACAACGGCCTACTAATTATTCACTGCGAACCATTTAAACGAGTCCAAAGTCAATTATTTTACACAAAAAAATTATAATTTACCTTCCATCAAAACGTTTTCGCCTGACGCCATATTTAGTATAGGGTTGTCAAATATATATAAAATATAATGTATCGATATATTTTTAAATACAATATATTTATATCGTGATTTTTTTCACGATATAACAATATATTCATATATTATTGCGATATTTTTTGAAATTTTAAGTTTGGTTACTAACCACAGGATCTAAATAAATATATAGGGTGTATTGATATGATATGATATTTTTTAAATATTTGACAGCACTAATTTAGTATTCTAAGCAGTGTGAGTGCGGAATTATCGATTACAAATACCGAAATATACCCATACATTTTCAAAATATACTGTAACTATACCGGGAATCTTACAATCATTTCCTCGATATGTATTTGATATTACTAGCTTGCAAAAACTTTTAACACTGAAACATTAATTTAATCGGATTGAAGAATCAATTTCGCTTGTTATAAATACTCCTTTTTATTGGATTGTATACCTATAAAGAAAACACGTTGGAATGAACTATTCCATTTACAGACAACAAAATTAAATTTTAAAATCGACTAGGCGATACCATGCAGCGATCGATGGTTCTGTGCGATAGTCTGGCAAACATTCGATAGATGCGGAGAGCAACCCTGCTAGGCGACGCATCTTTTCCAACACTCGGCCAAAATGGCGACTCAAGAATCGTAAGCGTGACAAAAACAACAAAGCCGAGGCGCATTTCACAATAATTAAATGTTTTTCGTGCAATTCTTGCGTACGTTTCACCGGAAAACAACCAGAAATGTGTGAATTAAGGACCCAGTGACAGTGGAAATTGGACCAGTGCTAGAAATACACCAGCGACAGCCGGAAATCAGACAGTTTGGCAATTGAAAACGCCGACCGCATAACCTGTACGTGTACGTAGTGGCGAATGGAGTGTAAAGGCAAGGGCAAGAGAATGAAAGAAGAGGCGCCAAGCAAGAAATTGCCGCCTAAAATTTATGGCGGGGACTGCACCCCCACCAAGGCGGCGCACGATGAGATTCTCAGCTCCCTGCTGCGCATTAACAATTTCGACTCGATATCGAGCATTAAGGATGAGTCTCTGGATATTGATCTATCCGCCTGCGTGACCATCAGCTCCGCCAGCCTCGTCAACGGCAACAGCCTCTCGTCCACAGACTTTTGGCGCGTGCTCGACGAGAGCGCCCAGAACAACACGGAGCTGAATCTCTCCGCCGACGTGTGTCGCGATGACCTGGCGTCGGGTCCCAGCAGTGGCAGCTCCACCACAACAGGCGGCATTGTGGCTCGCGACCTGTCCAGTGACAATCACAGCTCCGAGTTCAATGTGACTTTCCTGCGGCCAGAGCCGCCGAACGCCTTCACAAATTCCCCCTTCAAGAAGACATCCTCGTCGACCTCCACGACGCCAGTGAAGCTGTCGCCGGATCAGATGCACATGCAACTGATGCCCCAGCCGATGCAACGCAAGCCAAAGCTGCCGGCGGCAACGGCAGTGCGTCTGAAGGTCTTCAAGGAGGAGCCGCTCGAGGAGAGGCCCATGCCAGAGCTAAAGCCACTCAACAACGTGGTGACCAAAGTGGAGGTCTGTGAGACCGATTACATGCCGCCAGCCTTCACCATCTTCCAGCAGCCGAATCCAGTGACCACAACACCCTTGGAGGCGTCCAGTATGCCGCCTCCAATATCGACTGATGGCAATGCAAAACCCTTTGAAGTGGATCCAGTGCCACTCCACAAGTGTCTGGATTGCAATGGCCTGCTGCTGGAGAGTACCGAGGAGCTAAGCAAGCACGAGGCTGCCGGCCATCGCCTGCGGATCACATACAAGTGCAACGAATGCCAGCGGGACTTTGAAATGCTTGCCGGCCTCAAGAAGCACCTCAAGACGCATCGCACCGAGGGTCGCAAGGACACCTGGAAGAAGTGCCCCGACTGTGGCAAGTGGTAAGTAGGCGCGCTGTAACTCTGCCAGATCCCCACTCTAATCGAATCTTTTGTCCCTCGTATAGCCTCAAATTGGGAAGCATGTGGATGCATCGCAAGATCCACAGCGACAACAAGAAGTATCAGTGCGACATTTGTGGCCAGAAGTTTGTTCAGAAGATCAATCTGACGCATCATGCGCGTATACACTCCTCGGAGAAGCCGTACGAGTGCCCCGAGTGTCAGAAACGTTTCCAGGAGCGCTCGCATCTGCAGCGACATCAGAAGTATCATGCCCAAACGCGTTCCTATCGCTGCGAGAAATGCGGCAAAATGTACAAGACCGAGCGCTGTCTGAAGGTGCACAATCTGGTGCACTTGGAGCAGCGACCCTTCGCCTGCACTGTCTGCGATAAGAGCTTCATAAGCAACTCGAAGCTGAAGCAACACTCGAATATCCACACTGGCATGCGACCATTTAAGTGCAACTACTGTCCGCGGGACTTTACTAACTTCCCAAACTGGCTGAAGCACACACGTCGTCGCCACAAGGTGGACCACAAAACTGGCGAACACCTCGAGAACATTCCCTCGTATTGCTCGAAGAAGTCAACCACCAGCAAGGCACAGAAAGCAGCAGCCGCCGCAGCAGCAGCGGCAGCAACAGCCGCAGCGAATGGAGAGAATCCTGGCGCTTTAACGGATGGCAAAGTCAAGCCTAGTCCTGCACCAGCTGCTACAGCGCCAACGCCTGTGAAGCAGGCACGCAAAAAGAAACAGCCACAGCAGGCCACCCTGGCCGCCTTGGGCATCAGCTTGCCGGCGGGCACTGCACTCCAACAGGTGCACCCGGCGCCCACAAAGACCTCACAAGGATGCCTGCAGGAGCTATCCACTGTATTGGTGGCATTGCCGCCTCCACCCCCCAAGCAAGCGAAAGCCAAACGCGAACGCAAGCAGCCGGCGCCAAAGCAACTGCAGCAGAAGCCACAGACCCAGAAGCAACTCCAGCTACAAGCCATGCTGGAGCCCATCGCTTGTCCCCCGCTGCCGCACATCAAAAAAGAACCAGTGCATCCGCAGGGTCCGTTTTTGGATCTACACGGCCTCAGTCTCACATCGGCCGAAGAACTGATTATGGAACAGGCCCTGGAAATGGAAGAGTGCGGGCTGTACGATGCGCCCAATTCCAATACGGAAATGGGAACGTCAGACAATGCCATCTCGGATTCGGCCGCAGCCCTGCACTTTCAGATTAAGAACGAGCTGCCCGACGAGCTGCTCCCAGATGAAGAATTTTGTAAGTGGAATATGGTCCTTCCCCTACCAGAACCGTTTCTAATTCTAGCTTCTCCTATATTTTTGCAGTGCCTTGTAAGCCCAGCGATCGCCTGGCTTGCCCCTCACTCGAGTCGTCGCCGTTCTCATCGCCCGCCTCCATGGAGTTGACAGCCGTCTCCTCCTCGAATGGACATTCCCATGCAGGACCGGTGCGCTCTGGTAACTACTATCTGCCCGCCTTCACGCTAAATGCGCAGGGAAAGCTGAGCCACACGTCGCACGGCTCATCCTCCTCGGGACTGTCAGTGGAGACGACGAGTGTGTCGACCGCCTCTACCACGGTGTCGATGGTTAATGTGCCGCTGCTCGTGCGCTCGAATCAAATGTTGCCTTCGGTGGACACATTGCTCTTCACCACACAGACTGGAGGAAATCGGTTCTTTACCGGAAAGTCAGCGACCACGGCCACACCACATCTGACATGATCGGGCGGCGGCATGACTACTGCCCGCCTCAACGATAGAACGCCTCAACGATCTCCTGTGTCTTAGTTAAGTTTAGCACTATCGACCACGCAACGACCGCTGGCAATCATTTAAAAGCAATGGAATATGAGTGTTTGGTCCGTAGTCCGTAGATAATAAGAGTACGACGCTACATTTGTTTAAGGATCTAGACCCTAAGCCGAGTGCAGAATAGCCCCTAAGATTGAGAGGATTTAGTGTATATATAAGCAAGCATTATATATGAATATGATTTATAATTTGTACGCTTCACACCAATAATAAATTTCGTACATATTTTTTAGTATACAACTCAAAGTTTGAGTAAATCACCTACGACCTCGAAGCAGATGCTTGGTGGTCGCTTCGTCTCACCCTGAGGGAAAGCATTGAAGCTAAGCTGGGCCCTGTAGCGTCCACTTCGCAGTTGTCCCGGGACGGCGGTCGTCAGGGACAGGACATACTGCTCTATCTCTAATTTTGTCTACAAAAAAAAACTTCAGACATATTTGGAAAGAGTTTTCAAAAAGTTCCATCGACCTACACCAGGGTGGACACATTTATCCTTGACATCCTTGGAATTTGTAACGTGTCCGGTCCAGACCTTGTACCAAAACTGCTTCTCGTCGTACATACTCTTGCAAAAGTCCTTCGACTTCAAGGAGAAGACGGTGGGCTGCCAGTTGCCTCTGTCAAAATAGAGTAGTGCAAGGTCCATCTGGAATATTATGGAATAATTAGAAATTGGTAGCACGAGCAGCACTCGACATCACCTCTACACGATCTTCGGGTTGAATATTCCACACGGAAGTCATGCTACCAGCGAGGGTCACACCTTCCTCATTCATGGAGGTGCTGAAGTTGGAAAAGTCGAATAATCCATTATGATTGAGAGTTCCTTCCGCTGGACTCGGGCAATCACTGAATAGGTTCTCATCAGACACCAAAAGTTCGTAGGTAGCTCTACTCGAACTGTAAACGATTGCCAGCAGCAGTATTGAAACCAAAAAAATTACTTGGAGGAACATTTTGGAAATTTACCACAAATTAAGGAAGTCGTAGCCTTATATACTGCTCATAAGCTCGAGCACGAAATTCCCCGAAATCATGGTTATTATATATGGCCAAACTGCAAATTAAAAACCAACAGAAAATATACGTATAATTAGTGGTAAAACATATAATTAGCTATGACTTCTCGTGTCCAGAATATCTGTGTTCGATTTGATCGCGTTCGATATACAGAGCAGGGTGCAAGGTTCAGTCTCTCTTTTAGGCATGCGATCAATTACACATGAGATGCGGGAACTGCAAATGTCAGACCACAGACTGGAGATTGCATAGCCCTAAGGGTTGTTCCACATCCACCCTGTACCCCCTTGCAGTCCACCCTGCTACTACTCGTACATCAAGCGACACTCAAAAGGCTGCATATCAAAGTCAGAGGCGAGCAGCAAAGCGCTTAAACGTTTCGCCCTTTGAGGCTTCACTTGCCGAGAAAGGGCGGTTGCTTGGTTGGTTGCCTGCTTTCAATGCATATGGGGGTTCGGTTCGGTTCGGTTCTATAAAAGTGTGAGGTCCTGGGGCGCTTTCACTTGTGGCCTGTGCTGTGGACTTTAATGGGGTGGCAAATTGCATGTTCTGTTTGTACTTTTATAACTCTTTATTTGATTATTGAAAGGGAAAGCTGCTAGCGAAGTTCTTGTTTAATCCGTAGATTTATACCCTCAATATACACGGAATGAATACCTCCCATCCAAGGAACCTTCTCTAAAGTATGCTCTGCCCTACCCCAAGTGCCTCCTCTTTTTTTTTCTTACAAATTTATTACACCCTAGTGCCACTTTTCTACCCCAACGGCAAACTACAGCGACGACAACATAAAGCTGGCAGACATCGTCGGAGACCTTTGTGAAATATTGCCTTGTTGACATTATGAGGCATATTCGACAAGCCTGGGAATAGCAGGAACTTAAGAAAATTGATTTGTATATCAGGGCAATTGAAACAGAAACTCAAGATGTGATTTTTCGCCACATACTCCTACGGACATCAAGATCAATTTTGGAGCCCTAAAAAACACATTGATTTTGGGTGCACTTTGTAAGTCATAAGGAATATTAAGGTTTACAGAAACGATTTGTATAAACGAGAGAGGCTGAACTGAACCCCTTTTGGCGGATGGTCTGTTTTTGAGCTTCGCACACGACGTGCGCTCTGACAATGTCGCGACAACAGAAATGACAGCATAATAATAATAAAAGGGAATAAAGCACAAACACACACGGAGACAGGCGGTGGAGTGATGGCATGTGTGGCAGTGGCAAGAACGAAACAACAAGATGGGGGAACAGCGATAAATATCGAATGGCATAAATAAACCCGTGTGTTTTGGCCTGCGTGGGAGTGTGGTGATAGCCAGGAGCGGGCTAGTTAGATTGAAAGGACTGGTCGTAGAGGAGTGTATTTACGTACTTCAAGGATTCCTTGGATTAAGTGTGTATTAAGATTTTCAGATCTCCTTTGCGGTGGACCATCGAAGTATTCCCTAAAATTTAGCTTAGCAATTTCCTAGGCCCAACTGTATTCCGCTCCTGGTCGCGACGAAAGAGTTATGTATGTATATACCCACATGAAACCCACAAGAACAACAACACAAGTTGAAGTGAAGATAGCGGCTGGCGTCAGTTTGTCGACGCTTGGCGCGTTTTGTAAATATTTACACATGTAGCAGTTACCTGTGATTGTACCCCCCTCTCCCACTATGTGTGTGTGTGTGTGTGTGTGTGAAGTATATCTGTGTGTCTATATAAATTCGCCTACAATTGAGTGTGTGCGGTGTTGCGAGTGCGCGTAGGAGGCAGCTTAAATATTTGGCTCTTGCCTTTCTACTCGTAAAAGAAATCATTGCCCGCTCGGAGGGGCTGTCGTTCATGACTATTACTCTGCATGCCTGTAGATGATATTTTAATTAAGTTTATAATGATTGCTGCTTAAGCAGGCAATGACCGAACATCTGCATACAGATGTCATCCGACATGTGTACTCCGACTTTTTGGGGGCGTCGTCTGGGACTCGTCCCCTCAGGCTGCCCCCGCTGACTGCACAAAATCAAAGCCAGCAGAAAGCAATAACAGAAAGGGCACGTGACTTGTATACCATATTGAATTATTTGTCTTTACGGTTTAAATGTCGCAGTGCACATGCAAAGGACACAAAACACACAATCGAGAGTGAGAGGACACAAAATAGGCCACACTGAGCGATTGAAAGTGCCAGTTCTACATCCACAAGGCAAGTTTGTACAAATCTTGATGGGTCAATGGCATCTTTAAACTTGAAGTATCTCTCAGTGCACTCGAAACAACAGCAACTTTTTGCGCAAAAATTGAAATTGTTACGAAAATATGGTTTGGCATTGACGTTGTCCCCGTCGTCGTCGTCGTCGTCGCTGGTCTCGCCTCTGATGTTGCTGCTGTTGCTACGTGAGGGGGCGTGAGTCAATCAGGAGCAGCCACAGTAACAGCCTCCGACACACAATGGGTATACCGTGTGCGAGTGACTTTAAGCATTGTCTCCAACATAAAAATGAAGAAGGAAAAAAACAACAAGCTGCTTTCATACAACAATTTTGAATGAGAGCTGAAAGAGCCACAAAGGCAGGCGGCACATAATACTCAAATTGAGAGAGGGCACAGCCGAGGGTCGTGTCTGTGGCGGACATTCAAGCAATTTCCCAATTTTGTTTCATATTGTTTATTAATTGATTTCGTACGTATTTTAATGGTACTCGTACTTGTGCCGTGTCTGCCTCCTGCGCCCTGTGTCCTGCGGTTGCTGTGTGTGTTTTTGTTTTTCATTTCGCACCCCTCATCATCATTTTTCATGCTCGTGCTGAGCGGATGGATCCATGGGGACCAGATATAAAGATTTTTGTCCCCATCTTCTGATATTTATTCTTTCTGTTTTGTTTGCATAAATCAATTTATCAATTTCAAAGTTTCCATGATAGCTCCTTGGCTTGTTGCTGCGTTTGTGTCGCGCTGGCGAGTTTGTAAACGCTTGTCAAAGTGTTTTGCTTTTTGCCAGTGCTCCGATGAAAATGCAAATGCACATTCAAGTGCAACTTCCCGGGAAACCAGACTCAGACTCAGACTCACAGAGACAGAGTGGGTGGAAGGAAGCGTGGGAGAAATGCAGGGAGACAGACGGCTTTCGACTGCGACTGCGACTGGAAGAGCGAAACCAACTTCATTTGTCATTTTGTCACATTAACGCAATGGAAATGCAATATGCTAATGTCAAATTTTATGAATGAGCACAAAAATATTTGCCATTGCTCTGTGAATAAATATTAAAGCGGAAAAAAATGTTTCAAATCGGTACAAAGTGCTCAAAAATCTGCCAAAAGCAATTCAAATTGAGTAAGAAACTTGACAAAGATTTAAATGGTGAAAATTATTACAAATATGTAATTTTTTGGGGCTTACTGAGGTTTATTTTGACTAAGAAACTGAGCTGTGAAGTGCTTTTGTAAAGGGCTTAACATTGTATTAATTTCAATATTAAATTACCTTGATTTTATGTGTAATTCATCTCGCTAGTGATGCGGAAATATTACAAGGTGGAACAGAGCGAAGAAAACTTCTTAAACTGACTATCGAATTCATGCCCCACCAAAATTTGGCTCACACAAATTGCCACAAACTCGGCGACTCACTAATACCCCCGCCAGCTACAAAAGCCTTTTATCCTTCACACCAATTACCCTCTAACCACCGCTAGGACCAGACCTAACCGAACCGAGCCAGACCGAACCACCGCCAGGCACCCGTATCCGCTTCCGGCGGCTGCCATGCCCACACAATTAACGATTCATATGGCACGCATTTAAGTTTTGCATTCCAAGTGAGCCGCAAATCTTGTGCCACGCTTCCTTGGGCCCTCAAAAAGCCAAAAACTCAAAGTCAACTTCAAACTATAAGATGTGTGTGTGTGTGTGTGCGTGCAGATCTGTGTGTGAGCGTGTGTTTCTGTGTGTATGAGAAATCAGCTTTTCATTAACCCATAGATTCCGAGAGACAGAGAATGGGAAGGAGTGGTAGCCGCAAATTGAGAGATTCTCTCAGTCGAAAACTTTTGAAGGACGACATTTCTATTCATTAGTCGTAACCACACATACGCACCCATACATAAGACATGAGATGGGGCATTGATTTGGAGTCGTGGCTCCATTTTGTTGCCAAAAAGACGTACGCTTTATTAGCCTGATGAAAAGTTAACTAAACTTTGTGTTTTTTGTTCCAACATTTGGCAGCGCCCAGGGCCTCCCAAGCGCCAGCTCCCAGTTGAATCGGTTTTTTGGGTTTGCTCTTGACATACTATGTACGAGTAAGTACGAGTATGGGGATCTACGTATCGCTCCCTTCTAAAATATCAATAAATTCAATTAAAACTATTTTAAAAGGGGTTAAAAGCCACTGCCTCATCGCCTCATACCCAGCAGCCCGCCGGCTAAATGGGAAACTTCCATTTGCCAAATGAACTTCCCGATGGCTAAGCAAAAACTTTTTCTACCCACGCGGAAACAGTGCGGCTGCTACAGCTACAGGTCTCCCATTAACAGAGAATGTACGATGACTAACAGAGACTGTAGGCTGTAAGCATTGACTGTTAGTGGGCAACATTCTGTAAACGGCTATCCCCTTCCAGCGGGGTAGTATTCGAACAGGAGAAATCAAGGGGAGGCTGTTAGCCACCCTTCTGTTAGCCGCAACATGTCAATGTTGTGGCTCTGGTATGCACTTTTACAGCGACTCTTACTGTTAAGGCCCGTTGCTGCTGTACTCTGTACTGTTGTGATGGCTCAATGGACTGCTGCCACGGGGGTTGTCAAGCAGCTTCCTTTCGCTGCTTAATATGAGAATGTTATATGATGAAATGGTAAAGCGTGAGTACTGTAAAAAGATATGTAAATATAATTTTCATAAAATTAATGAATAATATGAAAGTGTTACATATATTTTGGGATTCAAATTAAAAGCTTGAGCAGTTGTAAGAAAAAGTATTTAGTTTAATAAAGGTATTTCCAGCACAATCTTAGCAAGGAATCCTAATCTTTGAAGTGTTTGATGGTCTTACGAGTTCCATATGATACATGATTTTTAATCCAACTGAAATCTCATTCCTGGTACATTTTTAATAAAAACTTGTATTTATGTGCTGAGTAAGCTCGTT